TGTAATCGAAATAAATACATTGCTTTTGTGTAATAAAATCAAATTTTTCCTTTTGAAATATAAAACAAAAAATTTCGTCATCTTTCTCACGAAACCATCTGGTGGCGAAACGGAGTTCGTCGGGTTTGCTAGTAATGTTATATTTTTATTACACGAATTTCTTTACATTTTGATAATTAATTCGAACGCATCATAGTGCTTTGTTTATTTTAATTTTATTTATGTCAAATAGTGAAATATTTTTAATCAATGAATAAATTAGATTTTAGTCTGAATCAGCGCAGTACTATTCTCTAAATATATAATTTTATATAAATATCAGATTTTTTACTTTTGCATTTAATTTAAAAATATTGAATGTCAATTTCATATATCCAATATGCACTAAATTTTTAAATGCCAAAATATTTCCTTTTTGGTTCGAAATTTAATATAATATGATATAATTTATATCTATAATTTGATTGCCAATATTGCCTATAACATAACTTGGAATAATTAATTTATTTGTATCTTATTGAAGTCGTTAAAAATTCATTTAATTTGTTTATGATTAATGATAAATTCAATATGTCGCTTTTTTATTGTGATCTATAATGTTTTAGTCACTTATCATATAAATTTTCGACTGCAAATTGATATTCATACTATTCCTGAAACTAACATGGATAAAGTTCTGAGAAATCCGAGTCCAAATCTATAAAATGTTTGATTTTTGGCACTTTTATTAATTTTTTATCAATTTTTGTACTGTAAAATAATGGATGATTATTTATCAAAATTGTAATATTTAGACTATAATTTTAGATATATACTTTTTATTTTGGCATTGAATTATTTTCATTAAAATCAAGTGAAACATAAATATATTTATTTGATATTTATATAAAACATATAATTAAAATATGCATTAAAATCATATTGTCTATAAATAATATGTCATTTTATAAACAGTATTTATTACTTTGGTGCTTGATATGGGTATGAATTTGTAATAAAATATATTCTTTCTGACAAATAGTTAAAAACTTGTTATAATTTTCAAAATTATTTGACATTTCATACTTCAAAAATTAATTCACTCGCATCATAGCGTTTTGTTTATTACACTTTTGTCATGTCAAATACGTCAATATTTATTTATTATAAATTAATAATTATTTTAAGTGATCAATGAATATATTATATGCTTGTTAAATTCATAAAAAAGTGCAAATTCAACACGGGAATATTGTGGAAATAAATATTTTTTTACATAAAGATCTGATTTTTGACATTTGCATTTCATTTCAAATTAATTATAACTGTCAAAATATTTTCTTTTGGATCGAAATTTAATATAATATGATATAATATTTAGTTTGTCTAGTTTGTTTTTGTCAGATTGCAATGATACCTTCAGATTGTACTATTCCATTTAAGAGGTTACAATTTTCTGTATGATTAACGTTTGCGATGGCAATCAAAATTTATCTCAACTCATATAATAGTAATATTTTATTTTAATTACACAAATTTCTTTACACTTCGATAATTAATTCCAACGCATGATGCAGGTGTTTTGTTTATTTTAATTTTGTTTATGTCAATTTTTTTTAAAATTAATGAATAAATCAGGTTTCAGTCTAAATTAACAAATCAGTATCTTCATCTGAATATACAATTTTTTATATAAATATTTGATTTTTTACATTTTCATTTAATTGAAAAATAGTGAATGTCAATTTCATATATTCAATATGCAGTATATTTGTAAATGTCAAAATATTTCCTTTTTGGTCGAAAATTAATATATGATATTTATTTTACAATATTGTGTTGTATCTATAATTTGTTCGGCAATATAACTTGGAATAATTAATTTATTTGTTTCTTATTGAAGTCGTTAAACATTTTTTTGTGAAATGTCAAATTTTTGTTTATGATTAATTTTAAATTCAATATGTCGCTTTTTTATTGTGATCTCTGATCTATAAGGTTTTGATGAAGTTTTGGTATCCGAAATAATTTCGTAAGCTAATCAAATAAATATAAATTGTAAATCTATTTATATAATTATTTTCATAAATTTTGACAAATGACATTTGACGATTTTCATTTATTCAAATTTATAAACATTGACTTTTAATTAGATTTAAAACTATGATTGGTTTTTTTTTTTTTTTTTTTAATTTTTATTTTCAATAAAACTATAAATTGTGATTTTGAATATAGCATTTCATCTAATTTGGATATAAATGTTGGATATATCTATATATGTACATGTTTTTGAATTATATTTTCTGAACTGTCAATTTTTGTTTTTCAAAAATCATAAATCTTTTTTTCTCAAATTTTCCATAAATTTTGACATTTGTCATTTTAGTGTTTTGTTTTTTTTTGGCCATTTTCTGTCAAAATTTTTTGAAAATATTTATTTTACAATATTGTTTTGTATCTATAATTTGTTAGGCAATATTTTCTGTAACATAACTTGTAATAATTAATTTATTTGCGTCTTATTGAAGTAACTCGTTAAACATTCTTTTTTTTATGAAATGTCAAAATTTTGGTTATGATTATTTTTAAATTCAAGTGCCGCTTTTTTATTGTGATCTCTAATCTATAAGGTTTTAATGAAGCTTTGGTTTCCGTAATAATTTGGTAAGCTAATCAATTAAATCTAAATCATAAATCTATTTATATAATTATTTTCATAAATATTGACAGATGACATTTAATTTTTTTTTCATGTCAACATTTATTTAAATTTTTAAGCATTGATTTTTAATTAGATTTAAAACTATAATCAGTGATTTTGTATGTAGCATTTCATCAAATTTGGATATAAATGTTGGATATTTCTATATATGTACATGTTTTTGAATTTTATTTTTTGAAATGTCAATTTTTTTTTTCAAAAATTATATATCCAAATTTCCTTTAATTTTGATATTTGTCATTTTAGTGTTTTGTTTTTTTTTTTGGTCATTTTCTGTCAAAATTTTTAGAAATTTATAAAAATTATATATTTATATTTCAAATTTACTTTTCAAAATTTCCTATAACCTAAGTTGGATATATATGCACACGATAAGCTATTAAAATTTAAAATCGGTCCAGTAGTTTGGGCGTCCATCGCGAACCAACATCGTGACACGAGATTTATATATATATATATATATATATATATATATATATATATATATATAGTTTTGTTAATTGTAAGATTACTAATTTAAAATGTCATTTGATAAAAAAAAATACTCACGTCTGAAAGTTCTTCTAATTGCTCTTCTGAACCTCTGCACAGAGACCTCATGTTTCGGTAGTGTCGATCATCTAAAAATTTAAGATGATCAAAGTAACAGAGTTTTGGCTTGTAGACGTTTTGTGCGCTACAGCCCGAGGGCATAGAAGCTTTTACCTAGAATAACATACTGTTAGATTAACACAGTTCAAATCATCTAAACTAACAATTAGTTTTGATAATATTGTCTTTATATTGTGAAGTTTTTAATATTATTAACTACCTTGTTAACCTTCTTGTTAAAAACGCTCCTAATACTTTTAATTTTTTTTAGCCACTGTGGCTATAGTTGCATCTGGATTAATTTCTTTAAATGCCGGCAGCATTGAATTTAACGCATTATTGCGCATTTATTTATTATGATATGCCTCGTCACTTATTGACCACAAACAAGTATGAGCTTTGTACATTTCTATAAATTTAACTATGAAATTTTCTGAATCCATATCTATAAATCCATCAAAATTGTTATCAATAATTGTTCAGAATGTGCTAATTATAACTGAATATATAACTAAAAACTAATACGTACCTATATTTTCCTATTCAGATTTCTAACTAATAGAACTTTCACACTTTCATACTTTCACACGATTATAATAGTCAAACTAAAATAATTTTAAGCAATGCAATTCTTCAAAAATAAATATAATATTGAATTTTTTTTAAAAAGTTGTCCGTTTTTAATTGCACCTCAAAAAATATGAGTCATTGGTTTGGAATTTAATTTCACTTATGAAATCCACATTGCACGACTCTTTCTCGTATCTGCATTATTGTAAATGTAGACGTATATTCCAAATTAAAGACCATGTTTCAGTTTAAAATTAGGTTCTAATATAATGTAAATCGTGAATAATTAGTTATAACTGCTATTGGTCTACATTTGAACAATATTTTGAGCTATATATATTTGCGACAAAATTCATTCCAAATTCATCTGTTGCAACTGTACAACATTAATTTAATATAAATAAGTTTAATATAATTTTTATATAAAAAATAAATGTTTAAATAAAATGAAAACAAACAAAAATTTACAACAAAAGTCGATTTTATCACATTTCACGTTCGAAATATTCATACTTTTGTCTCTAATGTTCAAGAAATATGAATGAAAATCTGTTCGATCGTCTGGGACGCCAAAAATTTTTACATTGGACATTTATTGGTCACACCGAGCTAGTTTCGCGAGTGAAATCACGTAATATTCTCTGCTAAAACTTCTCTTTCAATAAGCGGGATGATCTTCAAGCAAACATATGATTTCATAAACCATTCGTTCATAAATTTGATTCCATAAATGTTGGTCTTTGGTCTAAACTGTCGACAGAGTTCAAACTGATTCTATGACTACGATTTCTCGGATAAACGCCAAAATATTTTTTTTTTTTCAATAATATAAAATTTCGGCTATAAATTGAGATTTTTAATATACTCTACGTCCTAAATGAGATCCACATGTGCACGATGAACAAGACTAATTTTAAATCGGTTCAGTATTTTAGGCGTTCATCGCAGCCAAATAACGTGACACTAACTGTATATATATTAAGATATATATTATTAATGCAAATCTGTATTTGCTTTTTAGTCTTAGGGCTGTCGGTTTCATAAAAACTAAAAGTAACAAGAAGGGCAGCGAGCGCTTGCAAAATTATTAAATTATTCTTTCATTGATAGTCGGATTTTAAGATTTTAGTAACAAAAAATGACAAGAGGAAATCAAAGAGATTTAGCACGAGCTAAGAATCAGAAAAAACAAACCGAATTAGCCAAGAAGAAAAGTAGCGCAGATAAAAAGGGAATGACATTCGAGCAACGCAAACACAGGGATGCTAAGCTGATGCGTGAAAAACAAAGAAAAAAAGAGCAAGAAGATGCCGCAGCCTCTGGTAACAGTTATTTCAACAAAACACAAATATTTTCGAGAAGAATGCTTGTGAAAAAAAATAGAACTAACTTACTTACTACACGACTAACATTATTATGAAATAACAAATTACATATATCAAGTTATTGAACCTCATAAGGCTTTGGAATTTCAATGAAAAGGTTTTATTTTCAAATTTTTTATTGAACATTTTGGGCACACAGTTTGTCGCCTTTCTTACAGTGGCGGATTAAGCCATCTGCCGGCCTAGGCCCTATAAAATCAGCCGCCCTTTTTAATAGACAAAAATTTATCTTATTATTTAAAAAATATATTTTTATTTTAAATTACTTAATATATTTTTTATTTTTTGAAATAATAATTGTTAAATAATACAAATAAATGTTTATTAAATATTAACAATATAATATAAATATAATACTCATTTTTTAAAACTATAATTTATAGCTATTCGTAAATATTTTTTTCTGGATTTTGTCTGAACAAAACATCAACAATATCATTGTAATCAATTTCTTGAACAAGTTGTGCTGTATTGCTAAAGCACTATCTATCCTGGCTCTTTTCAAAGTAGAAAATGACCTTTCTCCAGAACATTTGTAACAGGATTACTCAAAAAGATCCGTAAAGCAATGTCTATATTTGGATAAACTTCACGAAGATTATTAGAATGCAAAAAATTATATATTCCTTGTGCGGAACGAACATCTTCCTTACTTGAAAAGATTCTATGAGTAGGTGTTGTAAATGAATGCATTAATTTCCTAATGTATCTTCCAAATCTTCAGGATACTTAGTGACTAAGTCATCTGCCCGAATTTTTAATTCTCTAGTTTCTATTTCAAATAAATTGTCAAAAATATTAAATTTTTCATAGAGCGTATGATAAGCACTTTTACGGCTGCCAATTGAACACTTAAAGTGTCTAAAATTCGATAATAAATATTTATTTCGAAAATTTTCTTCTCTACATAGAAATACTCTTTCATACTCTTTGACTCGTCTGCCTGAATTTTCGGGTTCTTTTACGATGATTGTCATGATAATAGTTTTTTACCCCAGAAAGTGCTTTTTCTTTTTCCTCGTATTCGGAAATTGTTTAGCTCTCATGTCCTGTAAAAATAATGCCAAGAAACTATACATTTGGTGAAACAGATGATAAAATTAGATTTATTTTAGAGTTCCACTTTATCAACCGCTGAACCTGCCTTCTTATAAATTCAATTAATGCTTCAATACGTCAATATAAGTGAAGTAAAATATGCATAAAAACTTCTTTCATTTCTGAGATCTCCCAAAATTCTTACATATTTTTAATGAATATCCATTTTGCAAATTGTTAATATCAAGAGCGATAGAATTGAGGTAAAAATCAAAGCAAAACCTTATAAGTCAATAAATGATCTTCTAGAGATTAACAGCAAAATTCGCCGGCTACCAAGAAATTCTAGCGTTAATATTATTTCAACAAAACACAAATATTTTCGAGAAGAATGCTTGTGAAAAAAAATAGAACTAACTTACTTACTACACGACTAACATTATTATGAAATAACAAATTACATATATCAAGTTATTGAACCTCATAAGGCTTTGGAATTTCAATGAAAAGGTTTTATTTTCAAATTTTTTATTGAACAATTTGGGCAACAGTTTGTCGCCTTTCTTAGCAATGCTCTGCAACTTTTCTTTAAATATTACTTGTTAATTCAAGAGTTTATCTGATCATGGATTGGAACTAGATCTTCTCGTTTACTGTGTTAAAGCACAAGAAAACATCTATCACAGCACATACATAGAAAAAAGTTTCGATTATATTAAAAACTTGGCAAATCTTGAAGATCGTTCGATCCCAGGTCAAAATTTTGGCATATGGGTTGAAAATGTATCGTTATTTTTTTTTTCTCAATGAAATAAATCATCTGAAATTATGAATATTCAATGAATTAAAAATGGAATTAAGGTTGAATTAATATTTATTTCACCGACATTTGTTATATAATATATTTAATATAATTGAAAATTTAACTTACAAGTATACAATAAACCTAACCTAACAAAATAATACAATAAGAATCTAACTAAATAATTCAATAAACCTAACTAAATTTAAAAACCTGTCTTCTGTTCTTCTCTTTATTTCTAGTGTAACTGCTCTGTGCATGACGAAGCCATTCTCTGATATAATCACCTACTTCAGCCTCCGACACTCGAATATCATTATAAATAGTTTCGGCTACAATCTCTAAAATTATTATTGGTTTAAAAAAATTAATACAAATATTTTATAAATAGAAATGAATTAATAAATTAAAATCAGACTTTTATATGTATAATAATTTATTTATTATATTTAATGAAAATTTATGAATATTTATTTTATTTTAAAGCATTCCATACTTTCGTTTTAGAATTTTCAATATTGCTTCTTCAATTTGTATAATTGGTTCTTGGAACTTCAATCTATCTTTTCGGATTTTTCTAATATTGTTTGCCTTTTACGGCGCTGCTTTCTTCTTGAAGTTGCAATATGTTCTCGAAATTCATATGCACTATCATCCCGCCGCGCTTCTGCATTGTTTTCCATTTTATGTACATCATTTTTTCCAGTATACAGATTATTTTCATATTGTGGCTATTGCCATATTTCATCACTCTTCTGCATACTGGAAATTGAAATTTCCTTGTCCTATTAGACATAATTGTTAATATGTATAAAATTATTTTATATATTTTCATCATTATTCGTATCAGTAGCTTGACTGTCAACATATTTTTTATAATTTCGTTGAAGTACTCGCTCCAACGATTTTCAATATTCAGTAAATGTAATGCCAAATTTAATATTCATGTCATTTTTGATGACAATCCACATAGCCCTCACTGTTTCTCATTTCTAATGAACCAACATTTGGCTTATATTTTCTAAAACATTCTATTAAAATGCTGTTTCTCTCAACAGCCCAAACACCATCTTGAACTCCTACTGCTCCATTAGGTAATATCAAAAATTCTTCTAGTTCTATAAAATAATATATATTTAGCAAAATGAGAAATTAATAAGAAGTAACAATTTATTATTATAATAAAAAATTATTATGTATATATATATATATATATATATATATATATTAATATATTCTATAATATGTTATTAAGTTTAATTTTTTAAAATAAATTTTTGTTGAGTGTTTTTTCCTGTGTTGCTGAATGATGACACGCATCTTGTGTCGAAACGTATAAATAAAAGTTTTTATACTTTATACCTTTTTTATTTCGACGAATGGGCTGCTAGTTACTTTGAAATATGTTTCAACGTCGAAAAAACTATCAAGATATATATATATATATATTGTTAAGAACTATTATGTATTTATTATAATATTTTATGTTTAACACATTTTCATTAAAATATGTTTGTAATTTAATCTTGTATGTTGGTACCATTTATATAAAACTTTTATAAATCGACCCATATCCCACAATAAGGGCCGAATCAGGTGAAAACTGATTATTATTGAGCGCGAGTTAGTTATGTTTGAACCGCCAACAAGTACAGATTAAAATATCAACACCCAATAATGTAAGTTACAACAAAAAAATTTATAAATCTTAAAAATTGTTTGTTTTTACATATCAAGAAGAGAACAAATAATTAATATCTCTTCATTTGGTGGCAGCTAATTACGATACCTACTCCGAAATCTATAATAAATAATAAAAAAATGTGTGTTTGAAAACAAACTTCAACTAGTGAATTCAAATTAAGTGTTATCAAAATTGTGGTGATAATATTGGCGCGTTCCTAAATATAAAACGAGATAATAATTAATTATTCTACAAATATCAATCAATAACTAATAACTGTAATAAATAAAAACCTAAACTATGATAAAATAGTACTCCAGTATAAAATACAACAATAATAAAACAAATCATCAACTAAAACTAAAATAATGTGTTAAAACCGAGTAATCAAGTGCATTACCGAACTTTTATCAATATTATCTATGAGAAATCAAACCAAAACTTGAAAAGTGATTCATCCACGCTATTTTGAGACGCGGAACGAGCAGTGGTAATTTTCCAAGAAGACGATTCTATTGTGTATATTCGAGCCTAGCGGATAACCTGGACAAGGATCTATACCTAAGCAAGGGCAAGGGACCATTCAATCACAAGATGGAGAATACAATCGGTAATGGTAATAAAAATAAATTAGATTTAAATTTAGCTCTAGCTATTATTCCGAATTTTGATGAAAATGAAACCAATGTCCGTGCATTTATTGATGCATGTGACTCGTTACATGTAAATATCGGAAGAAATATCGGAAAGATTACGAATTGTATATATGGAGACGGCTCTTAGAAGTTTTGTCGATCGTATCAAAATTCCATTAAAAAATTTAATTAAATCATGTAGATTCAATGGCTTAAAATTTTAAGTCTTAAATGATGCTACCAATTTTGCAGTGACTGAAGATTTATCTTCATCACATATTAACGTAAATTGAGAATTATGTAAAAAAAAATAGAGCACACCGCTGATAATTGTTTTTTTAGAACAAAATATAATTCAAATAATTTTTCTAAGACGTGTAGTTATTGTAAGAAAATAGGTCATAGAAATAATGAATGTAGGCATGCCAATCGTAAAAGTTTCATTCAAACATCGCATAGACCAGTATCCTTCACCTCAAAAATAAACTAGTTGGTATTGGTATTTAGCCTTGAGGCAAGTTACATGAACTTCCCGATTTGTAAATAATCGACTTAATCTATAATAAACAAATTAATTTATGAGTGATTAGAAGTATTCCGAGTTAATTTATTACACATAATTGAAAACGAACGAACACGTTAACTCGGAGTATTTTCCAGAAGCAAACTTTCGATTTTTATATTTGAACCAGTTTCCCTAATTTTAATTTTAACAAATGTCGACAAAACTACAAATTTTCTCAAACTTTGATTTTTTAAAATTAATCTACTTGTCGTAAAACCGTAATATTTCAGTAAGTTCTAAAATAATTATATACATCGTCAAAGAAAGTTTTATAATAATTGTCTTAATTTTTTTTTTTGCAACAGTTAATT